CGGTACACTGATCAGCAGTTAAATAACTCGGCTCCTATCGACTCCTAACTCGACTCCTAACTCGACTCCTAACTCGGCTCCCAACTCGGCTCCAGACTCGGCTCCAGACTCGGCTCCCGACTCGAAGAATAGCGAACCTCTGCTGTGTGCAGTTATAAAGCACTTGGGGATTCGCAGAACACTCGGGAAGTGTCCAGAAGTGTCTCATAACGCTTATGAGCGCTTATATGACTGCACACAACACGCGCGTGCGTTTTATGTTTCTTTATTAATATATGCATAAAATTTTGTTTTCATATATAATGTGTTTATTTCAAAAATTGTTTAAAATAAACTTTTTTGAAAAACAATTGTTAATGATTCAAGAAACTGCAACAAATAAATGTGTAAATGAATTATCTGCATGATAAAATTGATCTATATATCAAATAAAGACGTTAATCTTAATGTAGACCTTCTGAAACTAGCATAGTCTGGTATGCAAGTGCAACAGGTGTTATAGGGTATGAAACTTTTACATCGATTTTTTTAAATTTGAAAATCATGGTCCCGTACCCATTTCTCCGAATATTGTGATGATGAAGGAAATCCAATGAAATTCAATTACTAGCAATTGCAAATCTTTGACATGTATGTTTGCTGACATCAAATAGTATTATCAAATATAAATGTAGATGTAGTATTATTGATCTTATAGGGAGTCATTATCCATTCTTGGCCTTTTCATGGGAGGAGAAACTCCTTCCTTCCTTCTCTGGTATTCTTCTTCATGCTTTTTACTGTTGAGTTAAAAAATAAAACATTGTAAAAATAAAAAATATCTATAAACATGGCATTCGCGAAAACCTGTAAAACAAATAAATTAGTTAATAGAAAGAAAGTGAGTGAAATAAAAAACATTTCAATTCTTAATTATTTGTTTACATCGAATTTCAATGTAATGGTAAATTTGATAGTCAATAAGCCTGAAGCGAGATGACGTTTTACCCCCGTCTCTAGACCATAATCCTTTTCACGATGCTTTTGTTCTTCAATTATGACTATTGTTCCTGTATTCTCTAAGGAATCAAAAATTTTAATATGAAAGAATTTTAAAAACTATTATGGTATAGAGTCGGGGGTAAAACGTCATCTCGCTTCAGGCTTATTGAAAAGTTGGTTTTTGACTTGCATCAATCAAAGAATACAAAACTTTAATGAAAATAATCTTCATTTATAGAAACAAAAAAGTGCTGCTAATTCCAACCAAATAGTGAAATGTAATTGGTTTCAAAATTGTCATGAATTAGGTAAAGGAAATGAAAATTACCTTTCATCATCATCTGCAAAATAGGCATCTGAGTAAGCTTTCAAGCTTATTCCCAGAGTAGCAATCTTTTGAGCAAARGCTAGCATCTGTTGTTCATTGTTGGATGGCTCGTGTTTGTGGAAAAAGTAAACCTGATAAAAAAGCTATGTGTAAGAGTTTGCTAATAGTTGGTTTACTGCATATTGTAAACGGACTTTTGACTTACCTTGCTTTTATTAGACAAAACTGAGAATGATTCAGTTCTGCCAATGTCCAATTTCTCCAGTTCATTCAAAATGCTGACAATCATTTCCCCACTGGATTGAGTGTCAGATTTATATCTCCTGAACAAGCCTTTAGTATTAAGTATGGCAAAGCTCACAATTTTGCCATGTGCTAAAACAACAAGCTTTACAGCCTTAAATATGCCATCTGGTTGTAAAAGCGGAACTGATGGCAAAGTGGCATTTGCATCACCGGTTTCTTTGTTATGTACGAACCCTCTCTTGGTGAGAGTACCTATAAAAAGATCAGAAGTAATTAGTTATACAATTTTAGTTTATATATGTGTGTAATTAGCTGTAATTTATGCAAAATTGCTGTAATGTACAAACACTAAGGTAATAGAAATTTCTAAATATATTCACTGCGTGCGGCTGAAATGTCTGAGTTGTCAGAACATCGAAAACCACAGTATAGTACCGGAAAAGATATCTAGCTAAAAACTAGTGTGAGCTGCGTCGGTGTTTCTAATGAAACTGTCATGATAAAAGGGTAAATTTTACACCGTGAAAAGATTTAAAAACTTACTGACGTTTCGGCCGCTAGTCCTTCGTCGGAGTATTAAAAAGGATTAGCGAAGGACTAGCGTAAGTTGTTTCATCTTTTCACGTTGTAAAATTAACCCTTTTATCAGTATTAGTACCGGTAAATGTCATTTATTGACTTACACAGCTGAGAGAGGCAAGTATTTACAATGGAGTGTGCAATGTTGATTGCTCTTGACCCTACGATGTGATCATCTTGACTGGACTTAGAGTGAGACATTGCAGGTTCCTCCAATCTCGTGAGTAGCAAATGAATGGGAACGGCCATTCTCAAGACTTGAGATTTCCCTCTTGAATACAATCCTACAAATAATATAGGTATATTTTAATTAATAAAGTAACTTATTTATGAAGCTACATACATACGTACATACAGTAAAGGAGGTTAAATATCTGCAACTTTACAGCTGATGCAGACCTATATATATATATGTGTGTGTGTTTTAATGTATATAAAAAAGTAAAACTTGATATAATAATTCAATAATAGTATGATTAATATAATAATTTAATAATAGTATAATTTAATATATACAAAATGTAATTAACCAATAGAAGCTAAGTTTGAGTCTACCAGTGAAAAAGAGAACGCGGGATGTTGGGAGAAACACGAGAAGAGTCGAAAAATCACGAGCCAAATTACTAGTTTTGAAAATTAAACTTCTAGGAAATTCCTGTTATCTGTGGTACACATACACCATAATGATAAACCTATTAGAGGATACATGCTAGCATAACTCACCAGCAATAAATACATCATTTTGATATTTTTTACAAATATCCATTTCCCATTCATCATGGATTCTTTCATAATCGAACCAAGCCTCTTCTGATAGAGTGTAAGGTGTACTTTCTACAGTGACTTTGGTCATCTTGTTCTCATCCACGATGGCATAAGTTTCCTGACCCTCAATATAAAGATCAATTAAGAATGACACTGCAAAAAAGGAATTATAAATATTTATCAATGGTTTGTAAAAAAACTAGAAGTACAAAGATATTTTACAAAAGTATATATCGCTATCACTGACCTATGTATACAAAAATAAAACAGATGCTTATATCGTATGAGGTATTTAACAATTATTCGCCGAAGGCGAAGTGAATGTCGAGGAATATTTACCAAGACGCGAGTCTTCGAGCCAAGAGGTAAATATTCTCCATATTCACTGAGCCTGAGGCGAATAATTGTTTTAGCATATGCCAACTTGTGTACAGAGTAACTTATTTTTATATACAATAATTCAATAAAAACAAACAAACAGAAACTTTTAGTTTGGGTGACAAATTCACGCACAACTTTTAGCACAACTTTTAGCAAAACTAAAAGGTACCGTGAAATATTGGAGTGCCCCCCCAAAATTTTTCAGCTTCCGCCGCCCCTGCAGTGACCACCCTCAGTGCCTGCACTTCATACCAACCATCTCTCATGCTTGTAAATTGCATAAAAAGCAATCTGTCATTCACAACTCCATGTAAAGCGCTTAGTAAAAAGTGATTATATCCACATATAAAAGGGCGCTATATAAATCATAATCATTTTTTTCATTTCATTTTGTGAATATCGTACGATATTCACCTCCGATTAACCTATGAGCGCGCGCGTTCTTAGGAAGTACACAAGTTGGTATATGCTAATAAATAATATTTAAGAGTAATGGTTTTTTTTTGAGTTGAAATTGTACAAGTATTTATAATTCAAAACATTTTGTAGACAACCTTTTTACCATCAGTTGTATATATTTTTAGCAGACGCATTTCAACACTTTTCGAGTTTAATGCCAATTAATTCCCAAGGTTTTCAGTACTTATTATTATAGGAAATCGCACGATCTCGAGTACAATTTGAAAATTAATAGACAAGAGTAATGTTTAGGCGAGTGCAATTAAAGAACTTTCAAAACATTACGAGTGTCTATTAACTCCAAATTGTACGAGAAGATCGTGCGATTTTTTGTTTATAATTCACTCAACAAAATTTCAGTAAGAAATGCGAAGCGACGCCGTTCGTCTTTGTCTATTTGGCGGCCGATTTTCATTCCATCGCGCAACTGAAATGCATAAAAAAGATTAGTTCTTATTAGTTTTTTTTTCGGCTTTTTTGTTTGTTTTGGCCGTGTTTCCATAGCGACTTAATTCGGTACTCCTACGGAGTACAATTAACGCTATAATTGTACTCCTCTCGACCAAGCAGAGTCGAGTAATTTTGTTGAGTGTACTATAATATAAGAAACAACTATAACCGTTATGTTGGATTGGATAATGATGCAACTGAAAACGCGTGTACGGGTTTTGTGCTCTCATAAAGCATGCGCTCCCAACTAATACAATCGCAACGCAAGATTGATAATAGTCATGTTATAATTTACAATGAAAACTTACCCAGTTGTTCTTTGAATTCTGAAACTGCTTGCATTTCATCCGATGTCAATATTTGGTCTCTTTTCCTACAGTAAACAGGTTTAGGAAAGTGCCACAGGAGACGAGACGTGAACCCTTTAACACTATTTGTTACATCTTTAATAACAGGTAGAGCGGTGGTTCGCTGTATGAAGCCAATCATGCTAAAGCTTGTTCTTTGCATGTGGAAGTTTGCATTTTCTGTGACAATAAAATAAAAAATATTGAAATCAATTACTTTAGTAATTATTTATTTCATTTGAAAAATAGAAATCATTTAAATCAACTTCTTTAATACTGTTGAGTTCAATGGTTGAAAAATAATTTGACAGCTTAATTTAATATTGAATAAAAATGCACCATCGACTTTGACATATTAGAATTAAAGTAAATAGACATTAATTCATAGAAGATTTATCTTGTTGAATTCTGTCTTCCATTAAAATTTACAAACTTTAGTTATAATTATAAACTATGGAAAATGAAATATTTTTAAACAACCAGCCACAAATTGGTCTGCAACAATAACAACTAAGGTTTTCAAGGGCGGATCCAGAAAAATTCTAGGGGGAGGCTAATTGAGTTTAGGGGGGGCTAATTGAGTTTCTTCCGTCAACACAACGGAAAACAATATAAAAAAGCATCGTTTTTTTTTTGCTGAAGGGGGGGCTTCAGCCCCCCATTGCCCCCCCCCTCCCCCCCCTGGATTCGCCCTTGGGTTTTTGGCATTTCCAAGAAAAGATAATCCTTTGAATCATTAAGACAAAAACACCTATAAGATATTTTTGAGGTTTTCGCGTTCAGACATGATTAATTAGATTAAATGTAGGATTACGGATAAAACGCGTAGAATTTTTGAAAAACTACGAGACGTATCGGCCGCGGCCAACTAGTGATGAAGGCTATCATTAGCTATAGCAGAAACGTCATGTTTTTTTCAAACATTTACGCGTTTTATCCGTAATTTTACATTTAATTGAAACATATAAGAGTATTCCGATTGTAAAATGAATAATATTAAAACTTACTAGTTTCTCTTGCATTGGCTTTGCCAGTGTACATTTGTAGGAAATCATAATATTCCATTGTATCAGAAACTTGCATTCTTGTACTTGAAAACATATTCATGTTGCTAAAAAATGACATTACTTCATTGAACACTCCTAAAAGACGTCCACCGCTGTTAGCCAAAAAATCTCCAAATTTGTCCCAATTTGTACAGTGAGGCAGTATCATAGGCTTAACTTCATGGCCTCTTTCCTTGACCCCTTCTGAAACCTTTTCCAGTATGTCAGAAATAAATTCATGGAAAGCACTTTTATACCTCCCTGTAAGAAGAAAGATATAGGTATCAATATTAGAAACAGATGAGCAACGCAGTCCGAGAGTAGAGAACAAAAGGTTTTTGTTGACAATAGCAAAGTCAAGTGAGTGACGAGGAATTAAGGTAAAATGTTTCGAAAGCTCATTTCATTGAAGGTGATTGGCAACTTTTAAAAATTTAAGTAAAATTTAATGTTGATCTCAAATATGAAAAAGAGCTTGTTTTTGGGATAATCGTTTTGAGGTAATAGTTTTGCATTTGATGGAGCGCGAGCACATCGTGGGCTCAAATCGAACGTTCAACAGTAGTCACAACTGCCTGTCACCTTAATTTTTTCTCTCTCAAGTAATCGTAATTTAATAGCTGATCTCGTCTTAGTGTAGTTAGGGGAGTAAGCGTAGCGTGATGACACTAATAACAGCTGCGTAGGACACTACACTTGGTGCCTCAGTCAAATAACCTCAGTCAAAAGTGCGACAACGCGCGAGTGTTTTCTTACTCACTGAAGTCATGGCAAAAACACTTCAGAAAATAAKACTTTAGTTTTTTAACTAATTGGCTATAAACTGAATAACTTACGTTTCCTTAGAAAGAGTAAAAAATATATTTATCTTAAGTGAGCTTTCGAAACATTTGAATGGCCATTTTCACTCACAGTGGATAATTTATTCATCGTAAATGAGTTTTTAACCGACAGAAGAGATAACTAGCTAATAACTAGTGTGAGCTGCGTCGGTGTTTCTAATGAAACAATAATAATAAAAAGGTAAATTATACACCGTGAAAAGATGAAAAATCTTACTGACGTTTCGGACGCTTGCCCTTTATCGGAGTAAAAGAGAAAGAGGTGGTAGAAAGGGGTGTTTATATGATAGAATAAGACATCTATCATATAAACACTCCTTTCTACCACCTCTTTCTCTTTTACTCCGACGAAGGACTAGCGTCCGAAACGTCAGTAAGATTTTTCATCTTTTCACGGTGTATAATTTACCTTTTTATCATTATTTTAACCGACTGGTAAGCATCAAGTCTTTATTTTTTTTCTTTATCGAAGAAAGCTAAATAACGACGCAAAAAATAATGGTATAGTCGACAATGAATTGGTAATTTATTATTAATAGGAAAAAAAATTTGAGATCCTCGGTTGAGTGGACTCTGCGATCGAGCGATCGAGAGCGATCGTCTGCGATCGTCTGCGATCATATGTGAACCAGGCTTAAGAGAAAAAATAAATAAACTGAAGTGAGCTTTTGAAATTCACTTACGCTATAAAACGATAAAACTTATACTGTCGAATCATTTAAATGATGTAACAGAAAARAATATATAAAAAAAGAAGAAATCCTGGTTAGTATCCTGCCTTGAAAAATAGACACATCTTAAAAAGAACCACAAAATGCATTCGGCTTTCGGTGAATACGAAAAATTGTTTTCCTTGACTTCAAGACAGACGTGAATTTCGTGCGTTCAGTTATAGATTCAGCGTACATTTTACTTTGAAATATAAAAAGAAATCAGAACCACACAAGTATCTTAAATGTAAACTTTGGTAATGTTGTAAATTTTATATGATATCCTTTTTGCAATCAAGTGAATTTTTCTGAATTGAAATTAACGCTAACACACGGGGTTTACTGTAATATATTAATGCATGAATGGTACCTGTATTTAAAACGGATGCAAACCATATAATAATAGGTTCGTTCCAAAACTCGGCGACCTGAATGGAAGCGTGTCCCATGCAAAATGAAGTGACGACTATGGTTCCCATCAAAACAGTGGTGGACCTTTGTTTCATTGCCTTGCCTAAAATGCGAGACATCTATAACAAAACACAGATGAAAAAATAAAGGTTTGAAAGAACAAGCACTACGTTATTTTCAACGAATAGAAATCATGTGGCATCATTTTGTATGTAAATGTACTAGTTACATGAAATATTCGTCTTAGAGGAGTTATGAAAAGTGAATAGTTTTAGCTATAAACTATCATGCTGACGCACCAGTTATGGTTAGGTTCAGTTTAGACTGATTTTATATTGAAATTGAAATATACTGATAAGTCGATTACTTACCTCTTTTAGTTTGGGTGGCACTAAATTCCAGTCAATATCTTTTTGGTAACATTCGTGTAGGAGTTTGTCAAGTTCGCTGAGATCGTTCGTGGCCATTTTAGCGCGCGACTGAAGCGTAATGATAACAAGCGCAATGCCGCAGAAGGGATGAAGTCAATTGGTATATATGGTTCATAAAGTTATTCCTGGGATTATTTGATTGGTCATATTGTAAGCAATAAACAAAAAGGAAATCGTCGAAAAGTGCCGATATGCGTTGTGACTGGGCAATAACATTCCATTGTTAAGGTACTAGAAGCTGAGTAAGGGTTTTAATTATTTAAAAATAATAATGTGATAAAAGAGGAGCATTAAAGCTTGGCTGTTCCAGTAAGTATTAAAAAAATCCAATTGCATTTGATGTTTCAAAAAAGGTTTGTGATTTTATTCCCATATTCATTCTTGTAGTGCGCTTTGTTATGTTCGGCATATTTTAGGAGGCCCGCGGCCACAGTCAATGTGCGAAACCACAACAAAAACATCGGAATAGAGCGGCTCATCAGGCTACAGTTATCGAGGAGTCTCCGACAAGTGTGATAAAAGAACAAAAGAGGCGGCTACGTTGAGTAAACGTCAAAAGTGTTTGGCTTGCCGATAACAAAAGGACGAGGTGATAAGGATTAGTTCAATTGTTTTAGATGTTTTCGAAGGACTAGCGTCCGAAACGTCAGTAAGTTTTTTCATCTTTTCACGGTGTATAATTTACCTTTT